TGAACTGGCCACTACCTGTCGCTGCCCCACCCTCCCAGTGTCTCATAGCCGTGTTTCTGCGTCACAGCTCACATTGCCTGCGATTGACTGCTACTTCCCTGCTTTTCTCTTTTAGTGGCTGGAGAGCAGCATACAATCATCCTCTCTATTCTTTTGAGCAACCGAGAGAAGAGGATTTGTCAAGGTCTGTTTGCATAGAGCTGCAGGTGAGCCCGTATGTTAAAGACATACAGTACAGTGGCAGGATTTTCTGTGTATCTGTTCTTTTTTTGGCCCATCACACATCCACGAAGCTTGGATCAAGTAGCAGATCAGCCGCGTGGGCGTGTTAGAGAGAAATAGATTGAGACGGAGAGGTGTTCTGGTGCTTTCTCAGTGCTTTTCATTTCATCTCTCTCTCTTTATCTGCTTCCCTTCTCTCCGATTTCTGAACAAGGTCAGCAAATCGAACTTACTTTGTGTGTACAAACCCGAGCAAAACCATCATATAGTTGATCACGCTTAACGTCCCTCAGCTTGCCTTGGACTGTCATCTTCTTCCATTTAGAAACAAGATATGAGACGGTGCCTTTTACTGTTTCACTGGCATGAATTAGCATGAGACACCGACGTAGCATTGTTTTAAAAATGAACTGTTCTATTTACAAAAGTTAAAGCCTCTAAATCCAAGACTTAACATGACACAGCCTCTGAATGCTCCTTTCAGCGTGATCTTGCTGAAGTCGACTTTCCCACATCCAGTGTGTGACTCTTTTGTGATTAAATGCCATGGATGTTGTGTCATTTTCTTGTGGGTGTTTAGTTAACGCATAATTCGCTTCTGCGAACAGAGCATTATATTCACAGAGCTACCAACTGTTCTGTGAGCATTGCCTCCTGAGTGTGACTCCTGTTTCTATATTAAATAACATTTTAGGTACCAGATGAAAATATGTCATCTTAGAGTAATTAATCCAGTGTCAGTGAAAATAAGTCATCTTAAAAGGATGTGTTGAGTATCCCAGTTTGTCTGAACTTTATGACAATTTTTAATGCAATATAAGAATATTGTTGCAGACTTCTAAATCTAGGCTGTCTCCCAACTTACTCCCATATCAGCGAGAGCTTCACATCTGGCGTATCTGTCCTATGCTCCGTGTTAATTACAGAACACGCAGATATGAAGCTATGTGTGTATCAGATGCAGCCTCAGTGCCGCTTCTTTGTTCTTTCATTCGTCTTTTCATTTCAGCTCTAGTGAAATATTCCTCGCATCCACTTTATCAAAGTTGTGCATAGTGCTTGCTCATATTAAATCCAATTCATAGTGAAAAGAAAAAACATCTGTTGGTAAACTTTTTCTATGTTAAATTATTATTTTCCACTGTTTTCTACTAAAACTGAATTTATGTTTCTGGCTGTTCTAGATTCTGCTGAATTTTACACCAAAGAAGACGGTCTGTCATCAGAGGTTCCCCCTTTGGAAGCTGGTTTCAGATGGTGGCTTAGAGTATTGTCATCTATCTAGCACCATTTGAAATCAGTGTTCTTGGGGCGGGAAGTAAGTTTCAATGACCAGCTGTGAGGTGTCAAAAGAAGTGCCCGGTGATAAAGGTACAACATGGAAATGTCACCACTGGAAGATGGAGTACCACTCACAGAACTACAAACTTCTGGTCTACACTGACGTTTGCCAGCTTCTGCTTTTTGTCCTCTTTCCAAGGTTGACCGATTTCTTTCGGTGTTCAGAGTCTGCTTCTGTTTCTAGCACCATTTGAAATCGGTTACAGTGAAGGACAGATCTCATCTTACCTTGAGGAGGATTTTGCAACAAAGTGGTCCGCTTTTTTTTTTTTTTTTTTTAAATGGCCTTTGTACAACCTATAGACATTGATATGGTTTTTTTTTGTTTTGTTTTTTTAAAATAGTCTTTCGGGGTATACAACTCAAAAGTTTTGGGTCACCCAGAAGATCCCAGATTTTGAATGAAACCTTTAACTTCCATCCACCCACTTTCTTAACTGCTTATCCAGTTTAGAGTCACAGAGAAACGAGACGGAAGGTGCAACCTGGATAGTTCACTATTGCACCACCTGACTAACCATTCACATTTACAGTTACTTTGGAAACACCAAAAGAATGTCAGCACGAAGGGATGTTGCAACATTGGAGAACATTAAAAGCCTCACACAAAAAAAGTATTAGATAAGCAGGAGGTTCAAACCAGAAATGGTTTTGCTTTGAGACAACAACGCTGTGGTATTTATTGATGAGAAATTTCACAACTTGAAGCAAGGAGCCACAAGTTGGAATTTTTTAATGGGCACTTCTTACATACCTTATTGTCAAGATGTTTCCACAACAGCTAAGCAGGATTATATTCTCATGACAGAATAACAGCTGAAAGCTTCTTTTCGACATTTTTCTTGCAGTCTGTAGCTGTGCCTCATCATTGTCCTGTTATCGTGTTCCCACTTAAAATTTGTTTCTCAGAATGACCACACTAAGATTTTAGTCTTTTAAAATACTAAGGTACAACAACTCTAGAGTAGTGGTGTGCAATACTGCATATTTTGGTATCGATCCAATACCAAGTAAACAAGGGTCAGTATCGCCGATACCGATACTTTTCCATAAAAAATGTGGCTGCATCATTGAATTGCTAAATCTCAATTAATTTTCATGACTTTAACCGTTTTTTGTGATGTTTCTTTTTTTATTGTTAAATAGTTAAAACCCAGGACATAATTAGGACATTTATAATTAAATAGAAAATGCTTTATTATCAATTTTTTTTGTAGAAAACTCTTAAATAAAAAGTGTATGCAAACCAGTAAACAAATTAAAAACAGTAGTAGTACTGTTAAGAAACTATAATACAAAAATTACAATTAAAATTCTCAACAACAAAACAACTGGTGAAAATAATATGTAAACAACTTAACAAACCCGAAAGCGTCTAAGTTACATAACGAGACGGCGCAACATCTAAACACAAGAGGGGGGAGAGGGAGCAAAGCGCGCCTGCTCTGTGCTGACGCAGGAGCAGCAAGTCCAGCGACCTGGCTGTTTCGTCTTTGCCAAAAGCACAGCATTGCAAACACGAGCGGAACTTAAAGTAAAGAATTGATCTCACCAGGCTAGTATCGATCCAAGACCGATGCCGACTTGGTATCGATACAGTGGATATTTGGATCGATCCACCCACCACTACTCTAGAGTGATTCTAGCTGGCATATGCACACCTATACAGTACTGTGCAAAAGTCTTGAGCCAAACATTATTTCTTTAAAATTTCAAGCAGCCAGACATTCTTATAATTTTTAAAAGTTGTTTTGAGAAATAACTCTCCAGACTCTTTGAAGGTCTTTCAAAAGTTTCATTCAGCTGTTTGGGTGATGTTATATTTTTTATTTTACTTTTTTTTGTCTTCAACCATTTTCTGTACAGTCCATGCACCTGATCTTTTTTTTTCATTTGTGAAAACAACTTAAAACTGACGTATTATCCAAATCATAACAGAGGCACCTTAAGGTGAAACTGAAGACATCATAAACCAGTGTTGTAAGTACACATAAGACAGAATTTGTGTTATTCTTTCAATAGGCAGCCTGTCACAGGAAAAACAAAGTTCACATTGCAGTTTTATCTATGGAACATACCAAGGCTAACACAGTTTGACAGGTGAAAAATATAATTCCTGCATCAACAAAGTGATCCCCAAAGAGCGATTAGTCGGACACTTGGCATTTCAATATGCCCTTAAACAACTGAAGAAACTGGAGAATCGGAGGACGAAAAAGTGTCAGGCCTTTAGAAGTCATGTTATTAAAAAAATAATAATAATAAAAAATCAGCAAAGAGCTGACACGGGACCTGAGAGATACATCTGGCCCTTCAGTTGATTCCTCTACTGTTCATTGACGAGTCATCGTCTCAGTGGAATGGTGGCAGTCAGGAAGCCATTCTTAAGGGAGTGTGAGGAACACTAAATTACACAAGAACTCAACTGAAAATCACTAACAAAGGTCTAATACAGTGATCGATGCAACTTGGAATTTTGGTACATATTGTTATCGATGTGTATGGAGGTGGTCAGTGAAGAGGTAGACCAGTGAGTGTATGCAAGTCATTTGTAAAACAGGGTAGAGGCTTCATCATAATTTGGGGACACATTTCATTGAGTGGTGTGAAAATTGATGAGATTTTGAACTCAGAAAAGTACCATCACATTATGTTCCACCATGTAATAAAAGCTCTTCCAAAAGAAAAGACTGAATACATACCGTATTTTCCATGTATCCTTGACTGTTTAGATATATTTATAAAAACAAAATCAAAACTTCCTAGCATAATATGAAGAAAACAGTGGTGAACCAATACTTTTTTTTTTATAACGGTTGAGTAGCAACAATAATTTACTCATTTTATTTGGAATTTATTAATCCAATTATAAATCTGTAAAAGCTTGTGTACATATATGCACATTATCAAGAGGAGCTTGGCACACAGTTGTCTTCATTCATTTTATTAATATAAAATTTTGTCCCAAAGAAAACAATTTAAATCTACTTAAAAAGGAAAAAAAAGATTTCATTTGAATAAATAAATATTAAGCAAGGCAAGTGTGCTAATACTCAAAATATTTATCTTCATGTCCTGAACAGTGAGTAGTCAAAAGATCATTAACAAAAACAAAAAACTGATGCAGTGACAGGCTGATATCCACAAAGACGTTTAAAAGACGTGAAATCCAAGTTTAAGATTTTTTTTCTCCCCCTTGTCAATGAAACCTTGAAACTCAATCCCAAAGAGTTGATTCTGTTCATCGTAGCATTTCCAGTGGGAGAAACGTTTCATCACTCATCCAAGTGACGTCTTCAGATGAACAGAATCAACTTTTTGGGATTTCCTTTCCTGGATGATTGAGCATACATTAAGAGACTTTAAACTCATTTTGGCAAATTCAAAAAAAAAAACAAAACAAGGTGGTGACATTATTAGAGGCCAAACACTGCAGGAAGTTTTTACACCCAATAACTGGGGTCACATTTATGAAATTCACAACTATTTAAATGAAGCACAAGCTAAAACAATTAATGATGCCTTACATTTAGGTTTGGGGCTATTTTACAGATCCAACTTTCTTCTTCCCCCCCCCCCTTTCTTTCTGCAAGTCGTAAGTACAGGACTGGTTCATCAACCAGCAGTCCTATATACACACCAAACTGTTCCAACAAATTTATTTGATCCAAATGAGTAGTTACATGGTATCTAATCATTTTGGCTAAACTTCAGTTAAGCCATATGACAACCAAACAGACAATGTGCTAATTTTGCTTATTTTACACCATCTGTTTAAATGAACAACAATGGTCAAGTGGTGTTCCTTTACTACAGTGCAACAGATAAATTAAACATAGAATTTAAGCTTTTCTGATAAATATTTATACGTTTCTTCCTAATGATCAGAATACAGAAAGTCATGAGACAAGCCACTCGAAGCATAACATGTCCCAATCCAAAGATGTTTCTCGGTCTTTGGAAACCAATTTTAAGACAGTTGCTCAGAAACTTCAGGCAAATGCGTGTACACAGAGGGCACGTACATTCAAAGACTGGTCCTTTGACATTCTTCTTAGGAAGCTGTTTTTATAGACAGCAGTCGTGGAGTAGCCAGGCTGCCATGCTTACTGAAAAAAAGAAATAAAGTAAATAAATAATTGTAATTATATACTTTTTGGAAAAGTCTAAAACCCCCTGCAAACCTGTAGAGAAAGGAAAAAAATGTTTGAGTACTGAAACAGTTGTTTCACAAGTTCAGCCAAGGTAGAAAAAGGAAAAAGACCATCACTGAACATACATTATGGACATGAGTGAAATTATATGACAATGTATATCTACATTATCACATTAATCTTATTATTTGTTTGTTTTACATAAATTAGCTCAAGTGTTCTTCAAGATCCATCATCTTACCGAGAGTGCTACAGTACTTCCTCTCCAACATTTGTAGCATCTTTGTCAGTATTGCCTCTTCGAGTGCTGTAATCCAGTAATGACTGGTCAACATTATTGATAATACACAACAAAGCAAACAGAAAGCTACATGGAATGAAGAAGTCCACAGAAACCACCACATGCCTACATACCACTCATCCACAAGGACCACCCCACACAAGCAGCACCCGTGCCGGCAGCTACTCTTTCACCTCTTATAGTCAAAACAGCCAAATTTGTTTGATGAGATACAAAATATTACCTGTTCATTCCTGTCAGCAGAAACAAACAGGTCAATAAAACTTCATCAATAACAGCATATTTGGCTTTTTTTTTTTTTAAGACTCCAATCAAAGCTAAAATAAATAGCAAATTAATATCAATGTTCCAAAACGTAATTAAATCCTTCATGCGACTAAAGAGATTACAATATACTTTGTAAACAATGCCTACATACTATTTGGGCTGTTTATATTTCTCTTATAAATACAAATAGTGATAAGATTCTGCAGGAAGAAACGATTATACCGCCACCAAATGCTCCCTTGTCACATTTAAAAAAATAAAATAAATAAATATCACTGAATAATAACCTCCACCGTTTTACCAGTTTATCGCAGACATTACTGATCCTAAAAGCAAATTTAACTCTAGCACCCCAATCCACGATGAATATTTGAACACAGCAAGTTCTATCCTCCACTATAGATTGTATTATATGTATGCGAATCTACCTCACTGATACCCTCAGTTTGTCAAGTCCAACACCGAAGTGTAAGACTTTGAAGTCCACAACAGGAAAGCCACCGAGTTTCATACAACGCTTCTCTGGAAATGTGTCACTGGTATGGCACACACTTCCCATTGTACAGGTAAATTTAAACAATAGAAAGTTTTAAAAATCCAAAAAATTAGATGCATTTCTTTTGACCATATTCACAGCCCTGAAATCTAAGAATTAGCTATGGTACATAAGCTAATGCAAATGAAACAAAATCTCTGTCGTGGTATTCACAGCAGTCGCATTGCCTCAGAAAGGGACATAGCCAAGCATCAACATATGAAAAATGTTGTATGTAACAACACAATTTAAACCACTACTCACCTCATTCATCATTTTAAAACACTACATGCTTTACTACCAGCTGAAATTGGCTGGGGTTTTTTTTTAATTTAATTGTGATTATCAAAAATGTGATTAAAACCAGCATAGGTCATTTGAGACTGAGCTAAACCCTACAGCTCTGTGTAGGAAAAATAACACTGTAGTAGAGAAATACATTATCCAGGAAGCCTTGCGAAAAGTACAAAGTTTCAACATGCAACACTAAGATTATAGAAAGCTTGGATAGAAAGAAAAGCTGGAAAATTAATGAGTAGCTGAGAAGCAAACAACACAAAGCCATTACAAGGACAAAGCTATTTCAAGGGTTAGTCAGCAAAGTTCAATAAAACATAACTTTACCGCTTTTCTTTTTTGCTGTTTTTGTGGTAAAACACACAACAAACAACAACAATGCCTCCAACGATGACGATGGCCACTTTGATGGGGCAGAGGGGAAAAATTAATTTAAAAAAAACAAAAAACAAAGAAACATTTAAAAAAAAAAAAAGCTTAGTGACTGAAAACCTATTAGATAAGGCCACAAAGGTAATAATGACACGAGAATATAGGAGACTGTTATAATGATGATACAATTTTAAATAAAGATAATCCTGGCAAATAACTGAGTAGTATTTAACAAAAGAAGGTGGAAAACAAAATCAGACTTGTCAAATAGTCTTCAAGTGAGGAGACAGTCAATGAAATAAACCAAGGTAAAGAATTCTCGTTAATTTAAAAAAGAAAAAAAAGACTGCATTCTTCTGCAATCTTGTTATTTTCAATTTTACTGAAATGTAATCCCCTTTGGACTGTGCAGAACATACTCTGAACATACTATAGTTGTTAACTCAGGTAATAAGATAATAGGTCACTAGTGTGGCATAACTACAGTTATTATAAATCACTTTAGTGCAGAACTACACTGGTTTACAAAGCCATCATCCGTTTTTTATACAAACATTTGCAGCTTGTTTAACTTTCCATCAGACAGAGGTGTGCTGCGGCTGCAGGACATCCTAGACTTAATGGTTTACAAGCATTGTGTATTGATAACATTATATAAATAATTAGTGTAACCAACAAGTTGACCCAATCACCAACTGTAATTTTTTTAAATGTACAGTCATTAAAAGAAAGGCAAAAAACAAACCTTAATATAACATCAAAGAAAAAAAAAATACTATATTATACTAAAATACTGCCATTTAAATACTAATTACTCATATGTTCTCAATGTGTATCATAAAAATATGATAAGCATGCTGTAATATAAACATAATCTTTTTGGTTCACCCTCATGTTTGTACATTCACGATCTACTATAAAAGTTCAAAATTTCAAACTTACCCAAAACGCCAATAAGAACACGATTAGAACTGCCACTGCCACTTCCACTGTCCACTGGAGGTGAAGCAAAGGGAAAAAAAAAGAAAAAAAAAAGACAAACACCAATGAAAACCAAAGGAAGAGACAGCAAAATTGCTAAACTTATACAAATGACCCCTGAGTACACTGAAAAGTCTCTTTCAATCCCTGTGAACTGCATGCTTCTGGTTTATCAAAAGCATGCTTTCCATTTGTTATTTGAAATTTAAAAAATAAAAAAATAAAAATAAAAAATTCTACTTTCAGTATATGATGAAACTGACATTGAACAAATATACACCAAAAAAAAGTTGAAGTTTTTTTTTTTAATCTATTTTAACTTAATAAAATAACAATGTCGTTTAAAAAGGAAGCCAGTTTTTTGCCCATGTAGAGTATTATCTGATAAAGCTAATCACATAAAATATTTATTATTAACATCTGACTTACGTGCACATTCTGGAATTCCTGGTGACCACAGACCACCTTTTCCACATGTCTGGGTACCTGATCCGGTTAGCTCGTATCCAGACGGGCAGCTGAGAGTCACCGTAGCCCCATGTCTATATGGAGGTTGAGAGCTCACAATCACCTCAGCATTTCTCTTTTTGGGATCCTCACATCCTTCTCCAGATGGAACTGTTGAAAATATAGCAGTTTATACATATTTCCAAAAAAAAAAGACATGTTCAAACAACGTTAAGATATTTAGAGCACATGGAAACTGCTGCAAAGTTTGAGAAATAAACATAATAATCTACGTCATCAGATTTACATGAAAACTAAAAAATCCTATTAGTATGGCAAGTTTGATCACTGTTTCAAACGGTTACCATGTAACACCCAAAAATATATGTTACGATTTAGTTTTTTTTTTAGCAATGGCACATTATGATGGTAGTATGACCTGCTGTGCTATACGTTTGGAGACAGTAGAACAAAAACAAACAAACAAAAACAAGAACATTATGCGGTGGCTGAAGATGCTAAGAGTTTTCTTGAGTGACCAGGGGAACAAGAGTTATATAAAGCATGTAGGAGAACCAGATTAGGTTCAATGGTTTGGAAATAAAGCAAGCGAAGTTAAGATGGTTTGTGCCAAAAAGGGATAGAGGACATCCTGGTCAAAGGATGTGGAAAACAGAGCTGCCAGATGGAAAAATAAATAAATAAATTACAAAAAAAAAAAAAAATTTTGACCTCAGAGGGTTTCTAGGTGTAGTGAAAGAGAACATAGAAATGATTGGTGGGAGGGAAAACAATGCAACTTAAAGAATCATACTGCAAAGTGGGGTGTGCGTAATTATTCAGCCCCCTTTGGTCTGAGTGCAGTCAGTTGC